TATTATTATCATATAGTAGCTGTGGATGTTTTCTTGAAATCAATCTTGTCAACCTTCACTTCTCCATCAATGAGTTCATAAACATAAACAACGACACGTAAGCCATCAATGTCCATAAGAACAAAACTCGGGTTCACATCATAAGTGATGCTGCTGTATGCACCAGTGGCTGAACCAGGGTTAATAACCACACCAGCCTCATGTTTATAAGCCTTGAACTGATGAGTATGACCACTAACCAAAATGTCCACATCTAATTGTCTTTGAAGCATGGCTAATGAATCCAAATCCCCCCATGGAACAACCTAATTTCATTTCAGAGTATGTATAATCACATATCATTAATTAATTACCCATCTAAATTATATTAACATAATGAGTTAATGTGTAATGACTAACCTGATGACCATGACATAATCCAAGCTTGAATTGGCCAATGGTGAGTGTTTTGGTCTCTGGGTAACGAGCATCTTCATCATATTCACCTCGAGTGATGTGTAAACTTGGGCATAGGCTTTTCAAATAATCATGAACTTCCTGTTCGTCCATGGAGACATAAACCAGAAAGAAATGTACATTGGTCAAAGAACAAATCACATTTGGATGATCCCTTAAACTAAACTAATATACTCAGGAAACCAATCACATCTTGATAAACCATTAATTGTTTGTAGAAAAGTAGTGTATAAGCGAATTATTGACTTACTTTGATACAGAGATTACCGGTGCAAATGATGTGTTGAATCTTGCCAGGAACAAGCATAGATTTGAACTTGGCAGGTAGATCAGGTGCTCTATGTGGAATATGTAAATCCCCAATTGCCAATACCAACACCATCTTCCCAACTCCCAAAAGCAGCTACACACGCAGCTCGATTTCTCGCAAGGTCCTAACGTCATGTATTTCAGCAAACCCTAAACGAAAAGAATTAGGAAAGCAACTCGATTCAATGAGGATCAATAATTAAAATGTAAATCAGCTGGATCACTGATGATCTTAGGTTTTAGTAAACCCTAATACAAACATAGACAGTAATCAAGTGACTGAAATTAGTTAAAGTAAAGTAGAGATTAACACATCCAATTACCTCAAGAATTCGATGAGAGTCGAAAATTCAACGGAACTGAGTCAAAATTTACAGATTTTTTGGTTAATTTTGGATATCAAAACCGATCGTAGAAGAAGAGGGGCGTCGTCATTAACTAGGCGTGTGCAACATTATGATTCTTCGAGTTTGAAAGAAAAATTACAAAAATGACTTTTACTTTTGTGGGTTTGGCATTTCACCCCCACTATCTTTGAAACTTTAATTAAATTCTCTCTTCAACGACTATGGTTTATTTATGCCAAATTCATAAAAACTATTCAATTTGACTATATATTTATTTCAATTATTTACTTATATTGATATGATAAAAAAATTTGATTTTTTTATTAATCTATCTAAGTCAACCTTAATGAATCTCATCCATTATTTGACAGGTTCTTGAGGCCAATAAGATTGATTATAATGAAGATGCATACATTGATCTAGAAACGAATATGCATCTCGTGTGTTGACCTTATTGAACAACCTGGATGAAAGAAAACATTTGTTGTTGACTTCTCAAGGCGTTAATCAAAATCAATAAAATAATGTAAGAAATTAAAGAGTGAATGGAAAAAAGAAAAGTAAAAAATGACATTCTGATTTATGGTATCCCAATTTGAGTAATTTTTTTTTTTAATTTGAATCGGTTTTAATGTTTGTATAGTATATTATAAACCATTAGAACACTTGAAATCACGAAGAAGAATTGATTAAAAGTTTATAAAACACAATCACTTTAAAATTACTAAAATTACAAAGTAATCTAAAAGTTTATAAAACACAATCACTTTAAAATTATATGCACCACGTAATCTAACTGCATCTTGGACTCTTGGTACTATCATGGGCTTTGATCTACACCTTTTTTATAGTTGGATAGTAACATGCTTCACAAAATCAAGCTAAAAGTCTTAGATTTCTTGTTTAAATTTTTTTGAAGCTTCTTTTCACCAAATTAAGCTAAAACCAAGATCATCAAACTTTCTAGTAATGATATCATATTGTTTGTCATAATCATAACTTGAGATGGTAAAATAATTGTTTTGACTTTGTATAAAAGTTTTATACTAGCACAAATGCTTTTTGCTATTGAAGTTGATGAGAGGACATTTGAACCATGCCTTTCTAGAGTCGAGATTGGCTTTAGACTATAATAAAACCTCACTCATGACTCAATGCCTAGCTTTAGGTTGGATGGTATACTTGTTGGGTGGGTGAAAGGAAGCGGAACCGCACGGGCACATTACATCCTGGGTATGGTTTAGGCTATGCGGTTCAGATGTGAGTGATATCCTTTTCACGTTCTCTTTCATCTCCTGATTGGACAACAACTTAAAGGTTTTTTTTGTAGTTTTTAAATATTTATTAAATTATATATATACTAAAAAATTATTAAAATTATGATTTTTAGTTGCCTACAAAACGAGTATAATATTTGTATAAAATATATTTTAAAAAAATAATAAATAAATGAAAGGTAGTGAAAACGATAATTTTCTAGCTTTTGGTAAGTGAAAGGTGAGTAAATGAAAAACTGATACGACATAGAAAAATAAATGGTACACCTTTAGGTCTTAGGGATATGAATAAAGCGATGGTTAGCCACAAGAGCAACACCTTTGGGTCTAGAAAAAGTCATTATTGGTTTACTTTTACCCTAAAATATCTTTTGTAATTTGACTAAAATTTCAAGTTTCCAAGTTTGCAATGGCTGAAATGGACAATATGTGTTTATTTGACAAATCGACTTGGTTAATTTTTAATGATACGGGCGTGTTGGTGAAAGATGAATTAAGACATTGTTTTCTATTTTGACTCAACCCTAATTTTACGTCCATCAAGATTGACATTCGTTGATTTCGACCCATTCTCCCACCTTTACTTACAAAGAAAAAGTATTTGGAGGAAGTATCTAGATCGATGTTGCTAGGGCGGACCCAAAATATTTTCGAAGAGAGGGCAAAAAGATTTTTTTTATAGTGAGGAAATTCATCTAAATCGAAGACACAAGGAAACACAGCAACACGTTCACTTCCTACATTGATCTCTCCCGCAAAGGGACTAGCACTAAGCAAATATAGAACCTTAATCAATAATCTAATTCCTTCAAGTTTGACCCAATGTCAAACTGGTCAAAAAAAGTCAATGATCAATGTCAACAAAAGTCAATGGTTAACCAAATCAACACCCACCATGACGCGGAGACCTCTTGGCCACGTCGTGGGCACATCAGGACAAAACATTCGATAACCAGGACACCACCATGTCGTGGGCCTTCCTTGACCATGTCGTGGTCTTTGGCAAAATACCCTTTTATTCATTAGAGCTTAATCTATAAAGACCAAGGCTCATAACATCAGATCTGGTACTTAATAGCTTCATAATGGATAAAGTTATTAACTTTATCCATTAGGATGATCCAAACAACCAAGATCTAAACTTTAAGTCTCAAAGGGACCAATAATGCATCTTTCTCGACCTAATCCATTAAGTCCAGGTCTCCAACCTTCAGATTTCATTCCTATAATGTCTAAATGGATAAAGTTTCCAACTTTGTACATTAAGAAGCTCCAAACAAGCAAGATCTAAAACCCTAAATCATAAGATGTGCAAAACACACTTTTATTCATGCATGGAGTAAAGAAAACTCTTGCATGTACTCTCTACTCCACCAAATGACCAAATCTGAACACAAACATTACTCAAAAGATCAAGAGTTCTCCAAATTCTATGGAACAATCCTCAAATGGGACTAAAACTCGATAAAATGGATCAAAACATTAAACATACCTAGATCCAGAGATGAAATGCAATAAAGATTGGAACTTTATGACTTACAAAGGTCTATAAGGTGAATGCAAGTTAAGATCTTCAATTTCTAAGCTTCAAGGATCAATCGTGCATGAAAGCATCACTCCAAAACCACCAAAACAGTCCAAAAATTGGTGAGATAGGAGAGGGGAGGCTCAAAGTGGTGAAATGGAGGCTAGGGTTTCTCTCAAGAGGCTTTATATATGATTGAGGATAGAAAAATACCCCAACAACACGGAACCATACTTTAAATACATAGAAAACCCCAAAAATTCATGGGCTTGGGCTGCACAGCAGCCACCTCGTGGCAATCTGCTTGCCACCTCGTGGAGACGGGTTTTCACCCTTTTTCATCCCAACTTCAAACATCCATAACTTTTTCATTTCAAATTTGTTCCGGCGATCATTATATGAATGTGAATGTATTAGCGAACCCCACAATTCTATCTAATTACTTTTGACTAAAAACATACCTAACTAAAATCTTTAATTCGTGCAAGGAGCCTGAAATATCACCTTTCCTATTTTACCCTTTTTCTTCAAATCATAATTCGAGGGATTTAATCCATTAAACAACATTATCAATATCTAATATGGTCTAAAATCTATTCATTTGAAGCTTAAGACCTTTACTTGATCAAGTTACATCCTGTTATCCCAAAATTAGAAACATCAAGGAAACTAGGTGTTACAATTCTCCCCCACTTAAACTGGATTGCGTCCTTGAAATCGGTCCTTACAAATTACTTCTTATATACCCATGACCTTCTGGAGGGTTTTCCCGATCCCACTCCAATTGCACCGGCCGACACAATACCCTTACTATGGTTTGTAGTTTCCACCCCAAGGTCTTCAAATGCAAATTCTATACTTGGACTGGACTCCTAACAATCGAATTCTCAACTGTCACACATTTGATCAATGCCCTACCAAGATGATCACTTCTGAAACCATTAACGATTTCTGATACCATCCCCATCAAATTACAATAGATAACTACATTACGAGGAACTAATTCCTTAACCATACTTCGAAGACTCCAAGGTCGCCTAACAATTTGGCGAACAATTTCATCTTATGATTCAACCATGATGAACGAAGATTCACAGATTCGCCCTGGCCAAGATCTCCCTGGCCTCATGCCGTTTTACTGATAAATTGAATATGGAACCCATGGTCGACCGTCGTCGCCGATAACCTTGCATATAAATATACTAATGAAAACTGAACAGGAACCAATCGATTGCATACATAACTAGACCATATACCTACTTGGATCTAACAACCCTGATTCGCTAACCACTAACAACTATCAGGCTTACCCTCGATCCGTTAACTACCAACAAATCTCAGGCTTACCCCCGATCTGCTAACCACCAATAGCTCTCCCAGCCTAACATAGGCACACATTGAACCTGAAAAACTTAACTATCCTTATCAGGCCTTTGGGTCGTGACTCGTACCCCAAGTTCCAATCAAACAAGAACATAAAAGGAGATCCTCAGCGCAACCCTCGACCTGAGCTCCTACTACCCTAGGGCCCTTAAGCATGACGACGCCCTACATAATACCATTAAAAGCTGCAACCAAGACAATTCGGAAGAAATTTCATCAGCTAGAAACGGCCACCCCAACACGGAACCTTGAAGATTAAGCAGTTGCTTAAAAATATGGAACTTTAGCAACCTGGCTGAGAACTTCACCCAAGAATGAAATTCTCCTGCTACGAAATCTCCACTCTCCCCTACTTAGAATATACAAATTATTCGAACGCATCCAATATAAAACTAAAACTCCAAATCAAACTAACTGGAGTACTACCCATTCCCACCCCTAAGAAACAACCAAAAATGGAGTAAGATAGTCCTTCGAACCATTCAACTCAACCCCAAAACCTTCATCAAACAAGAACATGTAGAGATGCCAGTTTGAAATTTACGAGTCTATATCACCCCAACATTGCACTCTACATAGCAACTATGTAACATACCGATTCCCAGGTATGAGATTTATTCTTTAAAGCAAGTTTTCCGTTGGAACTCGGTGATTTGATAGCCTCAACTCGGCGAGTTGGAGGGTTTTGGGCCGCGTATTTTTATGGACCAACACGGCGAGTTGGGTGAGAGAAACTCGGCGTGTTGGAGGTTGGATGAGAAACCCTAAATTTTAGGGTTTTGCACCCTATTTAATCTCCTTAAGTCCCTAGGGCAGATCTTTTATCAGCTTCCAAACCCCCATATCGGCCCTTGTGAACCCTAATCACCCTTCCCTCTCATTTTGTGAACTAGTGTGGTATTTTTGGAGCAAAAGGAGAAGAAGTTAGAAGAAGGCAAGGATCTAGCAAGCATAGCTCTCATATTCAGTTTGGCACTCTTTTGGACCTTTGTAAGTGTCCAAGATCCGAT